CTCTTCTTTACAACCCTACCTAACGTCAAGTCCCCCTCATTTGCCTCTTCTCCCATTGACTGACCTGTCTTTACTTCTGCGACGAGTGGAAGGTGATCAGAGTTGGCTCTTATCCCTATTAAGAAATTATCAAGTTTCTCACCTCCCTCTGAATTAGTTATAATGTCGTCGATCGTGCTGCGACCACTCTCCCCTATACATGTGTATTCCTTGGTATCTTCTTCTGACCTATTCATTATTGCCCATCCTCTCTCTTTCAACTTATTTACTAGGGTAATTTCTTCATTATTCATTACTCTGTCTTTTGCTTTTCGGATTATTGTCTCACCTTCCAAATCCAGTGGGTCCCCCAGACTGCCTGTCCTCGCATTTCAGTCACCACTGATCAGAAGCCTCTGTCCTGGTTCCCATTCATCCTTTTCTAGTGTTCTCATCGATTCTTTCACTCCCTGACTGTACATCAATTACTCATAAAAGTCCAATGGCACAACAAGTAGATCAAAAGCACTAAAAAAAAATCTCTAAAATTTGTTTTTTCAACCTAAGCACTAACAATTACAATCAATTTTTACTTAATTACTTAAATGTCCGTAGGTGATTACCAAAAAACCCCCTACATCCTCTCTCGATACTCTATACCTTAAAAACCCATTTCTCCTTACAAGTAATAATTGGAAAAACATAAGTGTAAGAAAGGCAAAACAAAAAGTAGTCGGGCAATCGGAAATCAAAGCTGCCCATACATCGATAAATCGTATTTTCCTTATTTCCTCAATATATGTATGTATATATATATATACCCAGGAAACAGCGCCAACGCCAGCAACAGCAGAGACTCGGAACCCATACCACCAGTACAACCAGTACCGGTGCCGATCAACGCTCGACCAGTTCGAGTCGCGAGTCCGAGCTCGCGTCCAGTGAACCCGCGATTACGAGACACAACCAACACACAGAGTGCAGCGGCAATAAACTTGATGCTGAGGCGCCTCCGGCTGATACGGGCATCGATAAAATCGAGGTATGGATTCTTAGATGCTTGTAGTATATCTACTACCTGAAAAACCCTTCTTTGTTTTTTTTTTTTTTTTTTTTTTTATTTAAAACAACGCGTCTGCTGCACATGAATTACGTATACGTCTCTTTGCTGTAATTAACTATAAACACTATCGATTCGATAATTTCGATGAAATTCTTATTCGTTTGAAAATGTTTGAGAGCAAAATATGGCTATAGGCGTAATTAGACATGGCTCGCCATCAAATGGAATCTTTTATAATTTCAAGCTTTAAAAAGAACAATGTATAACCAGTCACACAGCAACGTGAGGTGTATCGATTGAATATATAATTTAAAAAATAGTGGCCATACGCTACACTTTAAGTGTCGACGGCCCACTATACTTAACAACGTTGAAACACACTGTGGAAACAACTTTTAACACAATCGTAGTATTTTTTTACATGCAATTTCATCATGTATTATTCGTTGAAGCAAAATATGCAATAGTTCGATTAAAAGAGGGATTTTTTTACATACGTCATTCGCCGCTGTAAATAGTTAATTAGTCGACGCATTACTCCCTCTTGCAGGACGATGTTTTTGAAGTAATGCTGGGGAAGCTTCGCAGTTGTAAAAAAACCGTAGACCAAGGCACATTATGGTGTAGTACTTGTAATTTTTTACTTTCTAATGATTCGAACTAATGCATTTCAAACACTACTCAGTAAAAAATCTCCATCGTTCGGTACAAAAAACTCGTGAGAGCACGAAAACTTATTTTTATTGTTGTAAAGTTTCTGTAAACATAAAATTGTAAATTTTCTTACGTCGACCTTTGCATTTTGTCGAAAGTAATATTCACTATGACCAAAACCTTTTCTGAAAGCTTTACGTGATTACTCTTCGCAAACAATCTCACGATGTGTTGCAGAGATACAAGTCTTCTTCCCTCAAGATTTATTTGACTTGATTGGAGAAATCACAGTGACTTTGGTTCAGCCAATGAATTATAATTTTTTGGGTCATTTTCTTGCTGTCGAATTCAGTAAGGCATTTGACTTCTCTCTCACAAATCAAGCTATCCTTTTTATTATCCACACTCTCCAACCCCCAAACCAAAAGCTTTTAAATTATCTCACTCTATAACTTTGAATGACTTTGATACGTAAATGGAAAAAAATATAAATATATTACAAGTATTCGAAATTTTTTCGAGTTGGATGAAAATTTTTCATTTGTATGTCCGTGCAATACTTGAGCGTTTTGTAAACCAAGGCGTGTCAAAAACCTGAGGGTATTGTCCTGTTTTGAATTACTTTGTGAATATTGATTGTTTCAAGAATAAATATAATTTTCCCTGAGAACTTCTGAACATTTAACGAGTCACGTCTTGTGTTGGGCTTAGAAAAATTGTATCTAGTAACTGTTCACGCCAACCGTGAACTTGTAAAGCTTTATTTTTCAGCTTTTATTTCTTCCGTACGTTTGTATTAACTGATGTTATTTTCTTTGTGCTCGAACGAGCTCCTGTTTTGTACTCCATATATACATTCTATTTGGAAAAAAAAAAAAAAAAAAAAAAAAAAAGTAATCCTTTTGCATTATCAAAATACTTCCAGTAGCATCATATAGGAAAACGACGCGACACTAAAACCCACCCCCTGAGCAAAGATCTCCCGCTTCTTCTGTTCCCCGTACAACTCAACACTGTATATACCCCCTTGGCGCGTTCTCGTTTTAATCTTGTATGCGAACACACATTATACGCATACACACGCGAATAACCCCCCCCCACCCCCTACCACCCCTCACATCTAAAGCTGAGCCAAAAGAGAGACAAGAGACCTTATTTTCATCCCCCGTCTGGTAGGGATGGGAGGGGGTTGTGAACCCGCGTATGCGTTTACGGATGTGCGTATTTTCAAGCACCAGTCGTAGGAGGGGGTTGGACTATGGTACAGCAGGGACACGAGAGATCTGGGGAGAAAACGCGACAGATGCGCATATGTATATGTACATGTACCCTAAAGGTATAACGGCCCTTTGTTCCCTGGGTAAATCTATACATGACACAGGTTTTTCCATATTTTTTTTTTTTTTTTTTAAACTCAAAGTGGTTCAAACGTCAGTGGTTGTATAAATATACTTTGGTATAGACTCGCTATGGTGCCCCAGTAGAGCGCGCGTAACAAAGCTTCCAATATTTTTTTCAAAGTATAGGTACTTTATTCAAATTGGAAAAACTATGGGAAAAAAAGTGCACTTTTTTTTATACTCTAGAGCTGTGTAACTCACGAAAATCCGAATTAAAATACGCAGGTGCCGATAGCTTTCCCGCGTATACATATATAATCTACAGCAGTGCTCGTATACATATTATATTCCCAATAGGTCAGAAGCCATCGGTCGACCGACCAGTTCCTCTGCGGACACATGATACACGCATCAGACGTGTATATATAACATTATGAGCGCATCGCGCACGTATGTAGGTATACATGTGCACCATGGAACAGGGCCAACAGGGGTGGGAGCCAGGAAGGGCTGCGCGGACAGACAGACGCCATGGGAGTCGACGGCGCGTGTGGGGTGAAGAAAGGCAGGCCTTGCAGCCACTGTTATGGTGTATGTATGCATAGACGTACAGCCCAAGGCTGGGCGTCCGGCTGGGCTGTACGACTGCCGCAGTCGGTGCGCGATCCCCTCGGCTGTTAAACGCGCGTGTATATATCATACTGGGAGAGCAACCGCACGTATCTTGCGATACTTACGTATATGGAGGGCGGAGTAGTGGTGGTGATGCAATGTACAGTGTTGGGAAGTGACCGATGACGCGGGTATTGGACCTCGCATCTGATGCACGCGGCTGGTGCTGCTGTCGCCACGCGACGGGAGGAGAATAGGAGAAAGGAGGACGGTGACGAGACATGAAATAAGGGGGTGGAGGGGAGGCCTCGATTTTTAATTTGCCGTAAGTTTGGTTGTTTTTTTTTTTTTTTTTTTTTTCATGACTATAGATTCCAGAGTTGGAATTTATTTCCTTTTGGGAGGGAGAGTGAAATTTTCGAGGTGATCGAGAGCAGGTTTGGATAATCGAGCTTAACAATATTATAGCGTCTTTCGTGCGGGATCGAATGAAATTATTTTTCAGGGGGTGAGTTAGTTAAGGGGGGTGAGAAAGTACGACCACGTTTGGGAACAATTGTTTCATAGACTTTTTGCCAATTTAAATGTAAATTTTTCATGCAATATATTGTACTTTTTTTCAGATAAATTTAAATGTTTTTCTTTGATATTTATGATACAATATAAAATTTCTCAACAAATAATATTCTCACATACGTTTTTCAGGGATAAAAATAAATTTAATAATCCTTGCACGATAGTTGGAATAATTTTTCCCAATACCATTACACCTTTTTTTTTCTCGTTTATCATTGTGTTGTCAGTATGGTATGATAAGAAAAAATATCTTTCCAACACAAGTACTGCTTACACCGAGGTGAAAAACAAAAACATCCCTTTCCAATTTTGTGTACATAACTTAGTCAAAAACAGAAATACAAAAGTGAGAAAAAGATAACCACGTTATACTGTATGTATACCAGCTTCGCCACGCTGTGAAACAACTTCTCCCCCGTATTGATCTCCAAAAGGGCTCGTCGCACACGTGATTCTCCCGTCCATGTGCCACCAACGGCGCCTACATGTACTCGTCTCCTCTTCTTTGTTTACTTATATATATATACATCTCGATGAGTTTATGAATGAAAAAGTCGATGCCTATAAATATACCAAGTTTGACAATATTTTCACCCGCGAAAGTCCCTGCTCGCCTGGTGCATATATTTTCGGATCTTCTCGATTCAGCTAGAGAGAAATTGGGTTCACCGTGGATAACACGCGGAAATATTGATTGTTTGCGCAGAAGCACACCCCTGGATGCACCCCCTCGCCTCTCGAGCTCTTGGCGCATATTTCGTGCCACTGCACGTGGACTTGGACTCTTCGCGAAGTTGCAAGGTTCTGGGCTTCGATTTTTTTTCTTCTCCTTTGATGTTTACGTGGCAGTGAAGTGCGCAGTGGTGTTGTTGTTGCGTGTACACACAGAGTGAGGTACCTTTGAATTTTCACTTTCATTTGGCATGTCCATACATATGTCGTGTAATCGTGCATAGAGGTAACTTTTCCCCCAAGTTAATTATAATCAATGTTACGAGAAAATACCTTTTCAATGCCTAATGTTTTAATCAACAAATGGTGACGAAACTGCAGAGCTCCACTGGAGGCAAGAAAACAATCGCGCAAAAGTTCCGACGCAGCCATTAACGCGAATAATTAGTCGAGCTGGTGCTTCGTCTCGTTCAAAGTTTCCATTAACGAAGGGAAAAATAATTTTTTTTTAATCTAAAGGAAAAGTGGAATGAAACCGCACCACCGTAGACGGATGGACTTATTATCAATTTTTTCCACTACTACCTACTCCGCCTCCCCCCCCCCCGTAAGTAAAACACTTCACGGCTTCCTCTTCTTTCCTTCGCAAAGATATACAAGTGCTGGCTGTGCAGTGTATGGGGGGGGGGCTACAGGAGTAAAAAGAGGAACAATAAAAAGGGGGTTGACGAGTGAGTCAGGGCGCTACGAGTTAATAGAGCGCGTCTCCTCTTCCCTACCCTCGTTTGCCTCGGGTTTTGCTGTATGACGATTCTTATCTGTCTTGCCTTGTTTTGGGAAGCGGAATTCTACTTGTTTCGTTTAATTTTGCGTCAGGAAATTGAGTTGGACCCAATATTCTTGTGGTACTTGAGTGTAGGGGGCATTTTTTTTTTTTTTTTTCTTTCTTCGAGTTAGTTGTGCCCATGCATGCCATCGCCACAATGGAAGTAGTGACCATAAACAAAACGGCACTCGAAATTGAAAAACCAATGATACAAAGAATGTCTTGGAATCTACCATTATACATCGTATACGTATGAATCCCTGTTCAGTGGAAAAACAGTGTTTTTTCATTGCCTGTAGAAATATAATCTAAAGCTACCCTCGTGGTTCGTAAAAGATAAGAATACCCACGCGCCCCTTCCTTACAGTGAAAATACACCCCCCTAAGAGATGCCAGCCGTGTCTTTTACGATAAGAAAACTCCCCGTGCGTCGCATCAGCCATTTCGTTCTTTCTCGCAGGCAATATCCATTACCATATCCAACATTGAAAAGTTGTTTTTTTTATTCCATTCAGCATTTCCTCGCAAAAGGAGACATCGGCTTTTCCACGAGTTTATATACACACGTACAAAAAGATTCATCATTCACTTTCCGGATGAAGGGGGGGGGACGATTTACAGTCGGCTAGGCATCAAAAGGCCCGTCTTCGTACGAAGAGTCTCGACTAACGTGCGCGACGACTAATCTCCGCGAGGGTGAAAGAGCTCGAATTAATCTCTCTCCTCACCTCCCCCACGGTCCCCCTTTTCTTTGTAGGCAAGTACTATTGTTGCATTCGCGCGCGAGCCCCTTTTCCCGAGCACGGAAAATCCACCCACCTGCACGACGTGGGTCAATAACTGCCGTCTGGCCGACCCAGGAGTGAACCTTTGACCCTCAACCCTCTGCTCTCTCCTTTTCATTATTATTCATCGATCGGTTTTGCGCGCGTTGTCGCTTTGACTTTGTGTACATATATACATACGCCAAACTCCCCAACGCCCCCCTATACGTAACCTAACCTATTTCACAGTCCCCCCTTTGACTTTGACGCGAAGCGCCACGTGAAATTTCATTTCAAACCGCATTATGTACGTGCCCTCCCTTCCTCTCGTTCCATACCCAGCGTCGTCATCCTTCCGGGGGGTGGTCCGTTGTATCACGACCCGAAAATTGACCTGAATCGCCTGACACGCTCCATATTACGAAACGGCTTTCTACTTTTTTTTTTTTTTTTTTTTCCACACCAAGCCGCATTGCCGTTTGATGCCTCGGTTGGACATTAAGGGGTGAAATGGCTCGTTTTTTTTTTTTTCTTTCTTTTAATGCTTCCTCGGTGAAAGATTCACTTTACGAGCTCCAACTTTGTGTTCCCAACTCTGGCACGGAAAGAACTTCCTATATGCGCGTTTCGTAATGGCTATTACTCTCGCCAAATGTTATATACCTATACACGATGTCTACAATATGGCTTTTCGTTCCCTCGAGGCACCGTTNATGTATATGGAATATGTTTCGTGTTTTTTAAAGTTTAAATTAAATGTGTATGACAGTTGTAAATGCTGGTGGGAACATCTTGAATTATTTTTTTTCTAGTATTGGCATCGGGCGAGCTTTGCATGTACGATTTTGTTATTTTGACTTTCAGGCTTGCCTATATGCGCGTTTCGTAATGGCTATTACTCTCGCCAAATGTTATATACCTATACACGATGTCTACAATATGGCTTTTCGTTCCCTCGAGGCACCGTTTTTTTTTTTTTTTTTTTTTTTTTTTTTTTTTTTTTTTTTTTTTTTTTTTTATCCTTTGAAAAATCTGTAATTGAAAATTGTATCGAAAACAAAGAGAAAGATTGTGTACGACTTTTGTAGAAAGCCACACGAGAGAGCACATCATCGAGAAGCCTCGTACCGTTAGCACAATGTGCGACGTGGGCGAGACGCGGGTACTGCCCAGCGTAGGAACGACGGCTGCTCTGCTCGCGAAGCTCAGGAGGCCGAGCTGCGACGAGCAAAAGGTTGACAAGGCCTGCAACAACGGCAAGATTGGCCTCCGCGCCGACGATAACGAGCCGGCTTGTCCGTCGCGCTCGACGCCCAACACCCCAACGAGCCTCAGAAAAGACGCCAGTCTTGAGAAGTGCTTCAGTGATCCGGAGTTCTTCAGGTGAGCTTACATATTTATTATGTTGTTGGATCGTTGCTTGATTGCTGCGCTTGATTTTGGGGTTGCTGGGACAATGGAGCCCTGACTTGTTTTGGGGTCACGGGGGGTTTCGGGGCACTCGTATGGGGACTCTGGGTACTGGGAGATTTGAGAAAAAAATTTTTTTCTTTCACTTTCGTTAAAAGGTCGCCGTGTATAAGAGATTTTAGAAAACACCCAGAGTATACAGATCACAAGAACTATGTGATTACAAAATGGTTCGTTACAGTAATTGTAACTGTTGCAATTCCTACAAGTGCACACTTTGAAGTATACGAGGTGTTTTAAGCTTGATTTCAAATTACCTGCTGGAAAATCGAATTTCTGAAAAAATAACATTGGACATTGGTCTTCCACTCATAATTAATTATGTTGATTAATTCATATTAGTGTATCACTTTCTTGAAAAAAATTTAACTCATAAAATTGATTAATATTTTTTTACTATAATTTAAGAGTCACTCGATATAAGATAAAAATTACTCATAAAAGTCCAATGGCACAACAAGTAGATCAAAAGCACTAAAAAAAATCTCTAAAATTTGTTTTTTCAACCTAAGCACTAACAATTACAATCAATTTTTACTTAATTACTTAAATGTCCGTAGGTGATTACCAAAAAACCCCCTACATCCTCTCTCGATACTCTATACCTTAAAAACCCATTTCTCCTTACAAGTAATAATTGGAAAAACATAAGTGTAAGAAAGGCAAAACAAAAAGTAGTCGGGCAATCGGAAATCAAAGCTGCCCATACATCGATAAATCGTATTTTCCTTATTTCCTCAATATATGTATGTATATATATATATACCCAGGAAACAGCGCCAACGCCAGCAACAGCAGAGACTCGGAACCCATACCACCAGTACAACCAGTACCGGTGCCGATCAACGCTCGACCAGTTCGAGTCGCGAGTCCGAGCTCGCGTCCAGTGAACCCGCGATTACGAGACACAACCAACACACAGAGTGCAGCGGCAATAAACTTGATGCTGAGGCGCCTCCGGCTGATACGGGCATCGATAAAATCGAGGTATGGATTCTTAGATGCTTGTAGTATATCTACTACCTGAAAAACCCTTCTTTGTTTTTTTTTTTTTTTTTTTTTTTTTTTTTTTTTTTTTTTTTTTTTTT